TATATATATATATCAGGAAAACAGCTGCAGGAAAAGGCTTTAAGGAGGCGGTGGGACTTTCCCTAGGTGCTGGTCTCCCGGTTTTCTATATGTGTGTCTCAGTCTGATCCAAGTTGTTAATAGAGGTTAAACTAAAGAGTCCTTCCTTCAAGTTACTCAGCAGACACAGACAGAAAGTTATTTATGAGGCTAAACGCCACCTTGGATTGGTAGAACAACTTAAGGGAAAACACCCTCCAGTTTCCTATTAGCAATCAATCACTTCTATCATTAGCAAAGAATTTGAACAGTAACAGCTGCTTTCAGAAATAAACCAAGACTTGGAGCAGTTTACATTACCTGACAAGCTGAAATGCATTGTTAATGAGACTGGCCCGGTCATTACTGCTGATTGCTGTATGTGTTCCTTTTAAAAGTCCAGTCAAAGAATCCCACCCATCATCCTCGTAATGCACAATGTAATAGCCATTCATTCCCACATTAAATTTGATCCATTCCACCTCTTCTGGGAGGATGAGCACATCTAGAGCAAATAAAATAAATCATAGCTTCATTTCCTCTCTTGACTGAAGAAAGCTTTCCTGACCGGAGGCTGGACAAAAAACTGAAGGCAAGTATAATACTGCACCATTTCAATACTGGAATGAGTTTTATATTGAGCACATTTCTTCAGAAGATGGGATCCCAATACACAAAAGTCAACACTAGTTGACTAAAACTAGTGGAACCAATTTTATGAGATTTATAATCTCTGAAAAGAATGAAGCCACATTTCAGGCCAATATACACCCTAACCCAGCAATGCTACAATGACATAGTTCACTGATAACTGGTCCTTTCTTAAATCATTACATAATTCAACTGTTCTAATCTCTACCTGGCAAGATACTGGCTACTTCTAATTTCTACCTGGCAAGATACTGGCTACTGAACTGTACTTTGAAAACTGTCTTCTTCATTAGATACTGAAAGCCAAAGGTTTACTAATGATAAAGGTTGACCTGTTCCTTTTTATTTTAAACAGCAATGAAACTTAATTTCTACAATAAATTACCTGTTTTTGTCTTCAGCAAAAATCTTTGGACTGAGTCTGACTTGCTGGTTATGTATGTTAATGGAACATGCCACAGGTACCTAAAAATAAAGGAAGATGGGTTCTTCATTCATTACGTCATCAAAGTTTTAAATCACCTATCATGTGCCAGGGACTGGCTAGAGCTTAGGAAATGATAACAGATGCTATAGCCAAGAGCTCAAAATATTATTAGCCTATTTTCCAGATTTTCAGGTGGCAGTGACCCAGGCAGGACATTTCTTGAAATCTTTCAGAGAAACTAGGAATTTGTGTTCACATGACTCTGACAGCCTTCTCCATGATTCTAGGCCCCCTGAGGCCCTGTCTGAGATCCATTCAGACAAACCTAAAACAGCCAGCTGTAGCACATACAACATGCTACGCCTCTTAAATGATGTACTAGGAAAATATAACATTACTACTATGGAATGCAAGTTCCTGCCAGTGATGTATGGCATAACTGAAGCTGATCATGAAGTAGTATAGAAAATCCAAGTCAAAGAACAGCCTATAAAATAAAGGTTCTTTTCAAAAATTTCAAGGTCAAGAGAGATAAAACCTGAGGGAAAGTTTTTAAAAAATGAGATTGAAGAGCTGTGACCACTATCTATGAACCACAATGTCTTTCTCTTGTTAGAAAGATATAGGGATAACTGGAAAAATTAGGGATAACTGGAAAAATTAGAATAAGGTCTATCAATAATAGTTTTGATAATTTATAACTGATAAATATACTTTGGTTCCATAAGTGAATGTTCATGATTTAAGGAGACGCTACATTGAAGTACATTGTGTCTACAATTTACTCTCAGTTAAAAAATGACATGGCAGCCCTGGTGACGCAGCAGGTTAAAGCGCAGCACTGAAAAAAATGACATGGCAGTATGTAGAGAGAAGAGCATTTTTATGATTATCTTAGATACATAAGAGTGTATATTTTAGATTAGATTAGATGTATTGATTTGTTACCTATATCTTGATAGGTGTTTTATATGTATATGGTAGACATATATATAAATCTGGGTAAAGAATATATGGGTATTCTTTGGAATCTTACAACTTCTCTATAAGCCTGAAATAACTATTTTGAATTTTTTAAAATAACTTCCAAAGGGGATCAATTAAGTTGTAACAGCTTAGTTCCAGTGAGATCTTTCTGTAGCATTAACTTGACAGACAGGTTCCAGGATGTAATGGTAAGCTTCCAAAGGTGAGAAATGAGTCTCTAATAATTCCCAGAAGTCACCTAAATGTTTAGGTTTTTAACTCCAACTCAGTGTCAGACACTAGTTTACTTTTGTTGCACTTGTTTAAATTGGAACCAATTTCAAGCCATTACTAGAAATTATGTTGCTACCAAAGTATAAAACAAGCATGTTAAAACTATTACATATTGTCAGCTTTACTGAGATGAACAAAGGTTTTAAGTTACCTTGTCTTGTACCTGACCTTAGAGGAAAAATTTTCAGCTTTTTACTATTGAGAATAATGGTAGCTGTGTGTTTGTCATATATGGGCTTTATTAGATTGAGTTTCTGTTCCACCTCTTCCCATTTTGAGGATTTTTATCATACATGGATGTTGAATTTTCTCAAATATTTCTCTATATCCTTTTGCTGATGTGGTGAATTACATTCATCACTTTTTTTGGATACTGAGCCATCTTACATATCTGGAATAAATCCCACCTGGTTGTATGATTTTTTTGTTGAATTTGGTTTGCTAAGGTTTTTGTGAAAAATTTTACATGTATGTTCATTAGGGATATTGGTCTGGAGATGTATGTAAATACGTATGTATGTATATTTTGTGATGTCTTTGCTATTGTTATAAGAGTGACATTGCCCTCCTAAGATATTTTTAGAAGCATTGCCTATTTTCTCAATATTTGGAAGAGTTTGAAAGGGACAGATATTGTCTGTAAAGGTTTGGTCAAACTAACTAGTGAAAATATCTGGTGCTGGGCTTTTGCTTTTTGGGAGATTTTTTTTGATTACTGTTTCAATTTCCTTGGATGTCCATTTTTATCACTATTGGTCAAGATAGTATTGGAAACCTAGGTAGAGCAATTAGACAAAAGAAAAGATATAAAAGGAATCCAAGTTGAGATAGAGGTATTATTATGTTCTTGGTGAGATAATAGAAAACCTTAAAATGCCACAAAAAAAAAAAAAACTAATTGAAATAATAAATCAGTAAAGTGGAAAGCTACAAAGACATTTTACCAAAACCAGATGTTTCTACATACAAACAAGGAGCTAGAAGAGAAATAAGTCAAGAAAACAATCCTATTTACAATTGCACTAAAATGAAATGCCTAGGGGTAAACTTAACAAAGGAGGTGAATATCTAACCTACACAAAGAAAACTAAGTCATTGTTAAAAAGAAATAAAAGAAATGGAAAGATATTCCCTGTTCATGGGTTGAAAGAACTATAATTGTTAAAATGTCTATCTTAGCCAAAGCAACATACGGATTTAATGTTATTCCCTTAAGGGTTTCAGTGGCATTCGTCAAAGAAATATAATAAGCATTACTAAAATTCTCATGTAACCAGAAAAATCCTTGAATAACCAAAACTATGCTGGCAAAAAAAGAATCAGTGCCATCACACTCCCAGACTCCAAATTATACTACAAAGCTATAGTAATCAGTATGGTACTGGAATAAAAACAGACACACAGACCAATGGAACAGAACTGAAAGCTGAGAAATAAACCCACACTTACATAGATAGTCAATCTATGACAAAGGAGTTAAAAATATACATTAGGAGAAAGTGTTTTCAAATGGTGTTGAGGAAACTGGACTTTGACTTGCAAAAGAATAAAACTAGAACACTGTCACACCTGAAAAAAAATTAACTCAAAGTGGATTGAAGACTTGGATGTAAGACCTGAAACTATAAAATATGGAGAAGACAACGCCACAGCAGTGGTTTTAGTGAGGTATTTTTAGGATCATTTTCAACAAGAGAAATGAGAAAAGTAGGGCTCAAACTAAACAATTTCTGCAAAGAGAAACTATCCTTAAGGCAAATACCCCTACTGAATGAGAAAAAAATACATGCATATCACCTATCTGACAAGAGGCTGATGTGTAAGATCTATAAAGAACTCATACAACTCAATAAAAAGAAAACAAAGAACCCAATCAAAAATGAGCTCAAAAGCTACATCGACACTTCCCCAGAAGGCCAAGGGACAAGAACAAATGCTCACCGATTATCAAAGAAATGCAAATCAAAAGCACAATGAAGAACCATATCTCAAACCTCTGAGAATGGCCCATATCAAAAAGAACAAAAACAACAAAGTGTTGGCAAAAGCATAGAATAAAAGCAGCCTTTGTGCACTGTTGGTAGCAATCTAGAGTGGCCCTCATCAAAATAGCATGGAGATTTCTCAAAACAATAAAGACAGCTCTACCATGCAATCCCATTCCTAAGAATCTACCTAAAGAATACAAACACACTAATTCAAAGGGATATATGCATGCCTACAGCACCACTTACAATAACCAAGTTATGGAAACAATGCCAGTGCCCAGGAACAGAGCAGCAGGTTAAGTTATAAATACTACTGAGCAATAGAGAAAAAAAAAAAAATTGCCATTTGAATCAACATGGATGGAGCTGGAGCAGATAATCCTAAGGGGAATAAGTCAGAAGAAAGATGGCTTCACTAGTGCATAATACGGAGAATAAAACCAAACCAGTAACAAATGCTAGAAGTGGAGTGTAAAACTGAGGCCACCAGAGGGGGAAAGACAGAGAGGAGAGCAAAGTATGGAAGGAGCCTCAGAGACTGTGGTGCAAGGCCATGTGCACCCTGGTGCTGCAGTGGTGTCATGAGATGTGATTCTATGCCTCTGAATCATGCAGTGTTATACACCAATGTTATGGTGCGAATATGCCACAGTTGTTTTCTGAGAAGATGGTGATATGTAAGGCAATTTATGTTCATAGGATACATAAATTCTGTTGAAATATTTTAGTGATAAAGGCAGGGGCACTATTTAAAAAGAATTTTTATGCTCTTTTATAAACATGTACAAAGGGATCATTGTGTCAAGATCACTTGAAGGAGTCAATACTGTAAGTACACCTATGACTTGCTGTGAGCTCATTAATTGTTGCATTTCATCTTGTATTTTTCAACAGAAAGGATTTAAATTTTCCACAGCTGATGCTACTGCTCTGACAATATTTTGTGAGAAAAAGAATACCGAACAGGAAAAAAAAAAAATCATATGTAGCACTTCAGCCTTTTAGCACAAAGGCTGGTTGGTGGGACCCAGAGAGTGCTGAATACAGACATTTGCTGACTTAGTATGAATTTAATCTTGTCACCACTAAAACCCAGAGAGTTCATCTATGGCTTCCCTTCTGAAATTTACATGTCAAACTTTTAAAATAAGAATATAGAATATTTTCGTTAGAATTCTTTCTAGCTAACATGAGAATCTAATAGCTCTGTTCTAATAACATTTCCCCATATTTTGTTGAAAGGCATTAACCATCATTTGTTATGGTTCAGCAGAGGGTTCAGGACATGGTGCTAGGGGAGTGTAATTCATTCTTCATGTTGTTACTTATTCAAGATCTCACTTCCATAAGCAATATAGGGTGGCAGGCGTGAGAAATTAGTTCCTGTTTTGACTCAGTGTGGAGGCCTGGGCGAAGTGTTACCTGGCTGGACATGGAAGCCCCCGATGGACATCAGTGGACTTCCCAGGTGTCGCTGCAAGAAAGTTTTTTCTACAAGTCAGACGTTACAAAATTCTTTTCTCTAAAAACATTACCCGGTCTCTGATGTGTCGTCAGCCCCCTTCATGTAGTACTGTTGCCTCATGTGCACGTTCTTTCCTCTCACGGTGATGGTTATCAGGGGAAAACCTTTCTGCAGTGTCCAGGTATTCATCATGGTTTTCACATCAAGGCCTTCCTGTTGCCAGTGCTGGTTACACACAAAAAGGCAGACACATGACCCACTTAGACCCATGCTCTACGAAAAGACAGAACTCCAGCTTGGATTCAGAGTTCCTCAGGGAAGCTCTTCCCCGTCCACCCCTCTGCCCCCCAGTCCTGCCCCCTTCCTCCACCACCTCCAGTCATAGCCCCTCTATGAGAGCACCAAATATGACTCTTCATTCTCTTTCTCTGCACAGCTACATCTTGAGAACAGGTATAATATCCCGTTTTGTTTACCATACCTCGGGCTTGGCAATAGGCACAAAGCAGGTATGTTAAAGAATGAATGAGGGAGAGTCAGTGATGAAGGTTCAATACATGCCTCGCTATGCTGTCTGTCAGATAGGCAAGGAAGAGAAGAACGTGCAGGGAAGAGTGTGCCTTCAAAGTGACAACACCGAGAGCCCAGTGTGAAATAGTGGTGAACATAAGAGCCTATAACCTTTGAAGATACTGAACATATTGAAGCACTAATAAAAGGAAAAACTATAGGGCATTCTAGAAACCAGATTCGAGCCATCTCAAAAAAAAAAAAAAAAAAAAAAGCCAATAAAATAAAAACATGATGAATGAAATTCTGGTAAATATCCGGACTCAAGTTCAGATAGAGTCAGACGGTTCTGTGACTCAGATGCTATGAATTCTTTATTACTTAGCAGTTGAAAACCTGGGAAAATCTAAATTCAAATCCCTGCCCTGCGATTTACTAACCATATGTCTTTGAATTTCATATTTCCAGAATGAAAGATGGGGATAGCAATAATCTCCCCTGAAGTTTACTGTGCAGAGTACAGAAGATGATACGCTAGTACTTTATCAGTGCTGGACACGTGCCTGACACATAGTAACTACTCAAGGACCCTGGCTGCATTGGGCCTATTTCTTTATTGAGATAAAAAAAAAAGGTGGGGGTCCTCCCTAATGGTATAGGGGTTAAGTCTTAGAGCTATCAAGCTATCACCTATCACTTTACCATGAGTTTGATCCCCTGCTAGGTTGCGGACTCCTCTGACACTGCAGACCTCTCCTGTCTCGCCCACTGCTCCCCTAAGCAGTGCATTTCAGTCAATCCACCTGTTCTGCTCCCCACTCTGTCTCTGGTAAATCTCTTCATCCCCCCACCTCTGACCTCCACCCCAGTTCTTATATGCATAAAGTTAATCTTTAAAAGACAACAAACGCAGTTAGGGAAATGACTGATTTCTTGACTGATATAGCCCGAATCTACCACAGAAACATGTCATAAATTCACTCCTTTACAGAGAGTGAAGCAGAAGAAGTCAGTATCACTGGGAGACTGTGCAACAACCTGTGCAGACAATGAAGTAAAATTGTGGAAGATTATGAGGCTAACTTTTTTTTTTTAATTTTTACATCATTCATCATTTTGTGCCTTTTCTATCGTGGTTGTAATGCCCATGGCCTTCCCACCACCAATTCACCCATGTGCCATCATCATGAATTCACCAATTCATCCTGTGCACATTTCCCACCCCATTTTTGATCCCACTCCCCACTCGACTCCCATAAAATAGCTCTGGTATATAGTTATGTGTTGTTTTTCATCTTTTATTACAATTGCTTCTCCCCACCCCCACCCCCATCCCTTATGCTCCTACCATCTGGTATTTTTCTTTTTCCTTTCTGGCTTACTTGATAAGCATAATCCCTTCTAGTTCCATACATGTTGCTGCAGAAGGCATGTGTTTATTTTTGACTGCCAAGTAATATTCCATCGTGTACATGTATTCCATTTAAAGCAGTCATCTACTTTTTGGCATTTGGGTTGATACCATGTCTTCCCTACTGTAAATAGAGCAGCAATAAACATGGGGGTGCAGGTGTCCTTTTGAATCAATGCTTTTTGTGTCCTTTGGGTAGATACCTAGAAGTGGGATTGCTGGGTCATATGTAAGCTCTATTTTTAGCAGTTTGACCATATCTAGAATGAGGGCGAGGTCATCAAAGGCCTCAGGAAGTTTGGCAAAAAGCTTTCCTCAAAGGATATGAAGTAAAGAGTGAGCTAGAGTAACACATACAGATGTGATGTGAACACTTACTGAGGTTGAAGAGGAGTGTTGATCTCTAGAGCAAAAGCCTTCCATCCCTTGTGTGCCATCTGAAGGGCAAATCTAAACCAAAAATAAACACATCACATTTCCATAGAAAACACTGATGATTCTTCCCACAGGGCTATGGCATGAAAAAAATTAAAATCCTGAAAATATCAAATATAGAGATATATAAAACATACTCACAGTCGCCATGCTATTCCACAGGTCCTCATTTTTTGTGTTTTTATAGCTATACTTCTTCAGATACTGTACAATGCCACTTTTAAAAGCATCAGCACCGAGATAGTCCCTTAGCATATTCAGAATACAAGCTCCCTAAAAAGATAATATGAATAATTGAGTATATAGTTAGCTATACTTCTGTTGCAGTATAATCTGTCATATTTTGAAATAAATATTTTAGATGCAAGTATGGTATGTGTTTGAGGGTCAAAGGATTGATGAGTTATTTAACAAAGGTGGGTTAAACCTGGACTCACCTGAGAAGAAGGAGGAGGACATAAACTCTTAATCCTCCATTGGGGACAGTTATCTATGATCAAGTCTCCCTAAGGAGCAAGTTTAACATCACCTGCCAGCTTCCATGGCGGACAGGTGAATAGATAATGTACCGATTAAACACTGATCTTCAACTACCACCCCACTGCTGGGGTGTGATAGATACAATCAGAGGTGTAATAAAGTAAGTAGCTGGTACATTCTAGGCAGCCTTAAGGCCTGAGGTCTCAGGAGAACAAGATTGATGGTGAAAAGGAAAGATGGAGAATCTCTGTGGGAGCCTGTGAAGACCTTTTTCCCCTCCACTCCCATTACTGTAGATTATGGACCATAGACTCAGATGCCTCCTGTGACCTACAGGTATTGGGGTCACTGAATGTAAGAAAATGTTTTTCATTCTTTTTATTCCTTGCACTTTTGATGGAAACATGCAGGCAAGAAATACTGACTACAAATAAAACAGTCAAGTGCAAAGGTAAATGATACATTCCCTGCTCAGTGAGAGGAAAACAAATGGGTGTTAATGGAAGAGGCAGTGGAAAAACACTTTTCTCCCAAGGGAGCCACGACACTGCCTTGAGGAACACAGAGCAGAAAAGCCCACAAGAGAAGCCAGGACTCTGGATTTTTATATAAAATCTCCCAAAGATTAAATATTGGCAACAATCCCCAATTTTATGATAAAACACATTGTGCAGGACAATACTTGGCAGTTCAATAATATAAACCATATTTTATAAGGCACTGCAAGGTTAGTTAACACAAGGGTATAATTTTTGACTGGTCTGAGTTGATTAACAAATAGGTCTTCATTGTACAAGAAACAGAAGGCAGAGCTTCTATTGACTGGATTATCAGCTTATGACAATAAATGAAGAATTGGCAAGAACATCATCTTTAGGATTATTAGCCCAATGGCAGTTAGGCCTAAAAGAGAACTCCACTCAGCACAGATCAGAATAGAAAGCAACTGATTCACTGGCCCTGAAGAAGAGAAAGTAACCCTACAAACCCCCCTCCCATAACCACCACTCAATAACATAAGTGTAGTGTCCACACTGTAGCCTTAGAACCCATTTTACCTTTTCATAAGAAACCTCATCAAACATCTCCCGAATCTGAGCAGCATTCTCCACTGGTGTGGACACAGGGTGTGAGGAATGTAATGCATCCACCTCCATTGCATTAAAGCATTTGCCAAAAAAATAATCTTCCTATGGAGACCAAAAAAAAAAAAAGAAAAAGAAAAAGAAAAATCACCTATGAGTTACAGTTGGATGGAAAAGATCAAGAGAAAGGTTTGATCTGGGGGAGTAGGTTTATCCTTCACCCTTCTGGTAAAATCTATTTAATATTTACAGAAAGATTTTCTAAAGAGCTTCCTTTAAAAACAATTGTTTGGGCAAACTTTTCAGATTTCGCTCATCTTAAAGATGTGTCACTTTTAGAATAAAGAAAATTTCATATTAACTTAAAAATATGACAACAAATCAAACTTTCAAGCCAGAGAAAATGAAATTTTATGCAACTATTTAACATTCCCAATCATCACCTTCCCTATTTTAAAACAAAGAAGTTTAGCTTTAAAACTTAGTTAAAAAAAAAAAAAAGAACAAATTCTAACTATATCCCAATTAAAATCTATTATCCCATAGCGTAACATGGAAACATAATTATTCTTATTGTTAAACCTTATTGTTAAAGATTACACCCCAACTAGGATAATATTTGTGATTCACTGTAATAATATGTACTTTAGTATAACAATGTGTAAAGTATGTGTATAGAAGGGGAAAATGAGAAATATGTAAAATGAAAGTCATATTAGGGCAAAGGCTTGTATATCTAAGGTACTGTCCTTTCAATTTTACTATGTGATTTTCACAAATACATGAAAATAAAACAGGTTCCCAAGCATTAAGTCTAGGATCATACACAATCAAATGTGCAGTTACCCAAGCAGAATTCATTTAATTTGGCAACAAGGGTCTCACTGAATAATAGCAAACTATACCTATCTTCAGTGAGATAAGGAACTGAAGCAGAACAAAAAGGCTGTCATTATTTGTTTCTTTGCTATTAAGGGGAGATAGAATTTAACACTTAGTTTTGAAATACTCAGATTTACAATCCAACCTGGAAGTAAATCATTGGGAAAAATCTTTGGATTTCACTAGCATTTTGGAAACATAATCTATATCTAAAGCCCCAAACAATTTTTTCCCCATTTTAAAAGAACTGGATGATGAGTAGAGGGAAAGTAGGTGCTGACACAAACACAGTTGGGGAGAAAGCACCACGCTGCTGCTTTGCAAAGGGAAGAGCTGGCAAAGGTGGGAACAAATAAATAAATAAAGCTCTACATAGTCACAGGAGAGACAAGGAAATTATCAATCTAAGAATTATAAAATCAAAGTGTAGTAAATGTTTCCAATGACACTAAACAGAACAAATCATCTTGAAGTTACAGGGGAAAAAATATGTCTTACAACTTTCAGTTCTGGATGAGTCACACGGACAGACACAAACTCCATAAACTTGGCAAAACCCTCATTGAGCCAAAGATCATTCCACCACTCCATAGTGACCAGGTTCCCAAACCACTGGAAGAAAAATATTTCTCAAATTATTCACATTTTCCTTGGAGAATAAAATATCTATATAGCCAAAACTTAAGGCACTCAAAAAAAGAAATATAATGTATATGTGCAATTATTAGCATATGAATGTTAAAAAAAACTTGATATATGCTATAAAATATGGTACCTCATAACTTGTTCAAATAAATTTATTTCTTATGTGAAAAAGACAAAACAAATGAATCAATACAATTAATATACCAATAAAAGTAGCTTCATGTATCCCTTGAAAGCAACACAGAGGGCCCTGGTAACAGCAGGTTAAAGCACAGCACTAAGAAGCTAAAGCCACTTCAGCATGAGTTCGATCCCCGCCTGCCCCGGAGGTGACCCACAAGGCATGGCAGATTTCTCCTGACCCGCCCGCTGCTCCCCTCAGCAGTGTACTTTGACAATCTGCCTGTTCTGCTCCCCACTGTCTCTGATGAACCCTCTCACTGCCCCTCCACCTCTGGCATATACCCCAGTTCTGTATGCAAAAATAAATCTTTTTTTTAAAAAAAAAAAAAAAAAAAGCAATACAGACCTAGTTGAGTGACACCTTAAGACACACATTTGGGGCTGTCTACCTGGTGGGCGAGCTCATGGGACACTGTCATGGTGATGCCAAGTTTACTGGAGGCAGAAGACTTCTCAGTATCAAACAATAAAGCAGATTCCCGATAGGTTGTCAGTCCCCAGTTTTCCATAGCACCAGACTGGAAGTCAGGAATAGCAGCAAGATCTTTGGGGAAAAAAGCAATAGAAATATCACCATCTCTAAGTTATACCTCACCCAAACACTTGCAAAATGAGTGGGTTTAAGGATCAAATGATATCAGAATTCTAGAGAACAGATTCAGATGCAGAATCAGATTCTAGATGACCTTTCACATAGAGAAAAAGTTGCTCACTTGGAAACTGTGTGACAATCCACTTGGGATTCAGGTTTCTTGACTCACACTTCTAAGTTTGTGACAATGAGTTTGGGGATGGGATAATGTAAACAAGTGGTTCAAAAATCCACTCTACTTCAGATGCCCCAAATTCCTATAACACAAGGCACTTTAAATGCTTGTGTAATGAAAATGAAGATTTTGCTGTGTAAATTTATTCATTTAAACATGCATTAGGTGTCCTTGACGGATGTTCTTACCAGGTATGTGTCAGTAGTGAAAAACAGCACCCTGCCTCTGCCCTTTGCTGACTGCCCACATAACTGGGTTTGCCTTTTTAAATCACAAGGCAAAATTATCCCCAGGTCATGTGCCCCAGAGAACTCTACCCAAATCTGCTTTTATCATCATTAGAAAATCGTGGTAAACACAGGGGTCAGAAAAATCAGTCCCCTTGGCTCATACTTACTAAGGCTTTAAATAACTTGAGGGAAAACCTTGGGGATGCCAATTAAGAGGATAGAGTCTATGGCTAGGGTCACTAAAGACTATAGTTTAGACTAGCTACAGAAATCCTTACCTTGTTTGGGTAGTGGGTATGGAATGCTGAAATAATCCTCATAAAATTCAAGAAGAGTCACTGCTGCATCCAGTGCATAATCTGCCTGAGTTATCTTTTCTGGCACAGCATATATGGAAACCTGAAGGGAAAGAGACAAAAATGTTATCCAAAGGCTGTCGCAGCTTCTCTCCACAACTAGATGAAGACTGACACTAGCAGCTTCCTATTATGGGATATGGCTGCCAAAATTCAAGACAACTGGAAGTTCCAGTTCTTGTCGTAATTCTATATTCATTCTTCAGATCAGTTCACCTTCTGACCACAACTCAAATACAAAATAAACAAAAATGTCTTTAGATGTTCATATGAAATAGCAAAAAAGTAAAGAGGCAAACTGGGAGACAGTGGGGCCCTGAGAAGTCTGCCAAGCACCACTGCCAGCTTTTGTCCTGAAACGCTACCCCATGACAGACAGACTTGAGCTTTGATACTCAGGCTAGGAGACATAGTCCAAAGCCTGCCCATGGAGTCTGTCTACAAGGAGACATGTGCCTGCATAATGCTGAACCCAAAAAGATCCTGCCTTCATGGTCAGGGTAAGCGAGAAACAACCACACCCTTTTTCAAGGAATGCCGGGGGGGGGAAGCCTTACTCAGACCTTGGTAATATTGCAAGAGAAGGGGATTTTCTGGGGGAACTCGTAGCTGTAGCCTGACCTTTATGTTCAGCTGCTGGACTCAGGATAAATAAACCAGTACATTAACATGGTCCCTAGACTGATAGATGTCCCCAGACACCTGACAGGAGCAAACTAATTCTCTCTGAAGACTCCACCTTCAATTTAGGTGCTAAAAGTTCAGAGACATAAACCACAATATACACAAAGGACTAACACATGGTGGCGAGTAGAGCTGGCAGAAACAATGACACCAGAACCAGATATACAAGGATTTAGATATGACATAATATATGTATACTTAAAACTTTTGAAGAAATACAAGACTAAAGATACCAGTATGCCTAGAACCCAAGTCAATGTGGCTGTTGGAGAGAAGGGGCTTCTCCAACCACCAAGTAATTCTGATATCAGAGAGTATCCTTCAATTTAATTCTGAACAATACCCTAAAAGACAACAGATTATAGCTTAGTCCCACAAAACCACTCACACCCACTTTTCAGAAGCCAATCTTAAGTCCAGTTTGTCCTGGGCTTTTGACTGAGATGCTAACAACCCCCTCCATCATCAGATGAGTTTGCTAGCCTGGCTCAAAGAACTCATTCTATTTACCAGATTATCAGCTCACTAGAAAAGGACTTAACTTGGGGGCCACCAGATGGAAGAGATGCAACTGGCAAGACATGGGGCCAAGCAGGGACACCCATGCCCTTCCCCTCCACACGTCCACTCTTCCCAACTTCTCCAGCATGATTCACCAACTCAGAAGCTCTCCAAACCTACCTGTCCTTTGAGGTTTTTATGGCAGCCTCAGGGTGATTAAATCATTGGGTTGATTAAACATTAGCATCTGGTGACTGGACTCAGCTCCAGCTGGAGGTCAGTAGAGGCATGAAAGGTCCAGTTCTCCAACCACCTGCTTGGTTCCCTGGCAACCAGTCCCCTCCCTAGTCTACCTAGGTGTTCATCCAAAGCCACCTCATTAACATAACAAGAGACACCTTTACAGTTCTTAGCACTTAGAAAATGCCTAGGGTTTTACTTGAAAGGCACACAACAGAGAAGGGTCTAAAACAGGGGAAGGAAGAGAATAGAGGGACACTGGTGATGGGTCACAGGTGCCGTGGTAGTGGCAGAACCAGGGAACTACACACAAAGGGAGAAATCAAATATTGTACAAAATGAGCAATGATGTAAGAAGATAAATTTAATAAAATTTATAAAGAAAATTCCTAGGGTTTTAGGAGTTCTCTGTGCCAGAATCAGGATGAAGACCAAATATGTTGGGCTGTCAGAAAGTCATGTTGTATTTTTGCAGCGGGGGTGGGGGCGGGGAAGTCATGACTTTTTCCACAACCCAGTATCTTATTTATTTATAAAGTACAGTATCACAGAAAGAGATATAGAATCATTTATAAAGAATACCAAAAGAATGAGGGTTTCTGCTGATAGCTTCATTGCTGAAGTAAGTCTCCAGTATGCCCTTTAAGTAAGGACCAGGTTAGTTGAAAGGTCTTTACAAAGGTAAGAAGACTCAGTACTATAGAAACAAAGCCAACTCAGCAGAGAAGTCCAAACTTCAGGCTCCTATGAAAACCAACACAAGTACACAGATATGTAAGGTATCCTCAAATACCCTTTCCAAAGCAGGCTTGGACTTCAGACACACCACCAGTGGCACTGGCCCTCACACCCAGGTAGCCAGACAGTGGGCAAGCACTCCTAGGAAAAAGAACTTTCCTCCAGTATTCCCATGCTTTCTGGCTTAAATGCTCAGCCCAGAACCATCTAATACTGCAGACTACATTAACCTTACCCCCTTCCCAAGACATCGCATGCACAGATTGTGAATAACATGCCCTCTAAACCACAGATAGTTAAAGCCAGAAACAACCCGAGAAACCAGATCTAGTCCAACTGTGATAACATTTTAGAGAAATGTCAAAGAAATTCCAAAGGGAACAGGGTCCACCTAGGTCAGGCAGGGATGCAGCCGGGGGCCTGGGGCAGGACAGGACTTCCACATGATTTTCTTATTCGAACTCACTGCACACATGCACCTCTCTCACAAGAGGTTGACCAACCACTTGCCCTAGACTGTGGAGGGGTTCCAAGACGCAGGGGATTCCAGTTTTAAAGCCAGGTCAGTCCCAGGCAGCTAGTATGAGCTGGTCGCCCATGTGACAATCCCAGATTCACCTTGACTCCTCTCTTGGTCATCTTGCTGACAGACTTGAAATCTGAAATAATGAAGGCCACCAGGTAGGTGCTCATCTTCACGGTGACATCAAAGTGGTCCTCTATGAGTCCTTCAGCAATCGTCACAGATTTAACCTAAAATCAGAATAACTGAAGTCAAATAACCCAATACGTTGGACACATTTTAAAAGCAGATTTCCTAACTACTAGACATAATATTGAGAGTATATGGGTATAATTATTTAACATTTTCTCTTTCTAACATCTGATTGAGTAGAATGGTTTGGCCTTAATGTCTATATGACAATTATTTTGTTCATTCCCATGCTAATAAATTCACAGAGACTAACAGTATTTCACTTCTTTTAAACAATCCTGAGGCAAGTTCCTGAGACAGGACAAGCAAAACTAAGGTTACTGGTTTTGCCAAGGTATGGCCCACTTATCCTTAAATATAGGCATAAGAACTATGTGGAAATGCAATTTCTTTCTTGTTTTAATTCTCTGCTAGGAAAACATTATAACCTTATCCAACCCAAAATGAACGTCTGCTTTCTTATACAACTGGAAGCGGCCCATTCCTGGGCCTGAGCCCGAAAAGCCTCTTCTAAACTGACTTGTATCACTGAAATCACATTTTAAGTGCAATCAGTGGGGCGTGGGCACGCAGCAGGCGGTAAACTGTATTCATGGCCCCACTCTTATTCCACCTCTTCTCCTGCGCCCTCATCCTTGTTAATACCACCACCAGCAGTGGTACCTGTTGGTGGCCACTGGACATTCTTATTCAGACTGAGAGCCAACATAGATTTACTCTTGAAGAACTCCTATTTACTTTTTTAAAAAATGCATTCTACCCATCCCTAATCAAGTTTCCATTCCTGAAGTTGTGCTGATTATTAAGAAACTGGTTAATTTAATTTAAACATGATTAACTACTGCTCACTGCTAAAGACTTTAATGTTCCAATGCAATATTACTTGCTTTTTCATCTCCCAAAAGATCCTTTCAAACCCGTTGTATTTTTCCTCCAGCCCAGGGCTACAGCTCAGGTCACTCTTACTAGATTTCCACCAAGGGGTGGGCTTTCCTGTTAAGAAGGCAAGATTGGAGATTTTGCTACCAAGTGGCTCCTGCTATCCATGGATCTTAGGAATACCTCAGGGACTCCTGGCTTTCACCCTCACCTCTGCCAGTCTATAGATTCCTCCAATTTTTTAGTTTCCATTCCTGGAAAAAACATGCTGTTGGTCTTAAATTTATATTGGAAAATAGCATAACTGTTCCCTCTTTTCTCATACAAAGATGGTGGCTGGCCAGGAGGGTACCATAAAACTGGGATTTGCAAAAAGTGCTTCTCACTGTCAGAATCTTGTTTGCAGAAGGGATCCTTAAAGTAATTTGAGTAGCAGAAGACAGAGTTAAAGGTTGAAAAGGTTGAGAACACACCCAAAGGTGGTGAGTAGCCCTCAGTCCTTTCCTGCTTGGACAATAATTCCTGGTCAGTATAGGGAAGAGGCAGGTGCGCTTCAAATCTCTGAGAGAAGCTCATTCCGAGTCTGAGCCCAGGACTGGTGGGCTTCCAGAGATACATGTAACATTTGCAGAGCGTAGCTCAGCAGAATATAACTGGCACTAAAGTGCTGGATTGTCTTACTCATTTGGCACAGTCATCTCCCCACCTCTGCTTGGAATTAGAGGTCAAGAGCTTCTTTACTATTCTTTATATCAAAACCTGAAACATTACATTTCTTTATCTGTGTGCCCAATTTCCAGCACATAATTAACAAACTATATCTTTAGTCCTGGGATAGAGTTTATAGAAATCCAGGTATTGAATTTAAAGGTACTGACAAAAGAGTACTAACCGTACAGATTATGACTTTAAAAAACACATACTAACCTATCCAGCAACCAAGTGGAAGAGCAGGCATGGTGATTACAGAAACCAACTGTATACTAGAAACATGACCTATTCAATGAAGCATTTCTTTGAACTCCTTTTAAAAGATCATATGAAAAACAAAAGTGCAAATGCTTCATGAGAGGCACTCTCCTTCACATCTGACCTCAATTCCTTCCACAGTATACCCGTATCCACACTGATGATCTGAAATGTCACTCTTAAAATTTTGCATGTTTTTAGGGACTCTTATTGTGACTAAAAATAAACTGTATAAAACAAAAGGTTCACAAAAGAAAAATTAGTTATCTGTCAGGCAATAAAACAAAACAGGTGACCCAAATGTTAACTGTCATGGAGTAATACATGTCACAACAATCAGTGGATTTTTCCTATGAGCAGATGCATTAAGCATTCAGACTTGAGCCTCCCTGGTGGCTCAAGGGGTAAGTCTCAACACTATGAAGCAATCTGCAGCCATTGCCACAGAGTTCAAGTTCCTGGCCAGGAGATGACCCACTGGCACAGCAGACAGCTCCTCCTCTCTCGTCTCACTGGCTGCTCCCCTCAGCAGTGTGTTTCAGTGGATCTGCTTGTTCTGCTCCCCACTCTGTCTCAGGTGAATCTTTTCACCTCTCCCCTAACCCCACACTTCTGGCCTGCACCCTTGCTCTTGTATGCATTAATAAACAAATCTTTAAAGAAGATCAGACTTACCAATGGCATATTGGAGATGGCCAGGTGCCTTGGCTCCCTTCTGATCTTGACTGAAAAACTTGCTTTGAAGGCAGGTTCATCGAAGCAGGGAAAGGCCATTCTGGCTGCAGTAGGTTCAAACTGTGTTGATGCAAGTACCCTAAAATAAATAAAATAAAAATAAGTCATGAAGCTGCATGGACTCTAAAACAGGTGTGATGTTTAATTTGTAACTTTACCATGACTGTTGGATTTTAGTAATAAAGATATGTGACAAATTATCATAAAGTAAGTTTTTAAAACAAGAAAAAAAAACTTGGAATATAGAGGAAAAGTAGTTTACAAAGGGTTAATAAGTTTAACGATCTCTTAAAAATTACTAAAAGCCAATCCAACAACCAAATGTAATAGCAGGCACAGGACTTCAGCAGGCAACTCACAGAAGAATCTACAAATTGTCAAGAAACATATCAAAAGTTGTTCAGCTTCTTTAGTCAATGGAATGTGAGTGGCTGGAAATAACCGTTGGCTTCTGGACTCTAGAGAGATTGCCAATACATAGTATTGGTTAGAGTTGAAGCAGTATGACAGAATAACAATGTCTCTAGATCCTTTCACTTAGCAAATTTACTTCCAGTTATTTACTCATTTACAAAGATTGTTGGTCAAAGTATTGATGTTGAAAACTTAGGAACAACATAAACTTCATCCATGGAGGATTAGTTTTAAAAAATTCAATGCATACAAAAATCATTAAAATGATCTAAGTGATTGTCATCCATATAAAACATCTCTAACATTAAAAACTGCCTGGTAAAACAGAAAATATAATTCCATTTATAGAAAACAATGTGCACTCATTATTCTAAACTTCTAGAGCAGTCTGGAAGGAAGCTGCCCTAAAAAAGTAGGTACATCTAGGGACTATGAATAGGGTAAATTTCACTTTTTAAAAAACTCTTTGAGGCCCTCCCTGGTGGCGCAGCGGGTTAAAGCACTGCACTAAGAAGCTTAAGCCAATTCCATGTGAGTTCAACCCCCGCCTGCCCCGGAGGTGACTACATGGCATGGCAGACCTCTCCTGACACGCCCGCTGCTCCCCTCAGCAGTGTACTTGTCGATCTGCCTGTTCTGCTCCCCACTCTGTTCCTGGTGAATCCTCTCACCCTCCGCATCTCTGGCCTATACCCCAGTTCTGTATGAATAAATAAATTTAAAAAAACTCTTTGAAATAGAATGGCTTTTTAACTTCAAGAGTGATATGAAATCAGGGAACACAACTTATTTATAATCTACTGGCACATATAATTTGATTTTAAAATTTAGTGTAAAATCTCCCATTAATTTACCCCCTTGCTCTGCAACTACCCCAGATTTGCTGATGGTTTGAGCTGCTTAAAAGAGAACCCTGGAGTCTTTGCCATCATCTTCAATGGTGCTTAGTAGCATGGCTGGAAATAACTGTTGGCTTCTGGACTCTTCTTTCTCTTTCCTCTTGTAGCCTTTTCTGCTGCACTCCATCCTAGGACGCAGCTCTATGGGCTCAGCCTCCAGGAGCAGGTGTGTCCACTTATGCCCGCCCACGCCACACTCCAGGTGTCCACCATCAAGCTCATGTGCTCCCAATGTCACAAAAGCTTGAGCAACCTTTCTTTACCCGTACACCCCGTAAAACAAAACTAAGCAAGGCAATGATTATCCTAGAAAAAGTTAACAGAGAAAAGCATTTCTACCAATAAGCTATTTGGGGTTGAACTGTGTCCTCTATCCCTAGTATCCATGAATGTTGAAAATTAGGTTTTTGCAGACATAATTAAGACAAGGCTATCAGGTTGGGTCCAGGTCCATTGTGAAGGGACACAGTTCAGCCCCAAATCTGTACCAGGAGAGGCAGAGACCAAACTTATGTAGCTAAGGAGCAATGGTCACCACTAGCTGAGACGAGGCAAGGATTCCCCTTAGACTGAAGAGAGCATAGTTGATTTTACACTTGTATCAATCAACTTCAAAAGTGTCATATAACAAATTTCTGTTTTAATTTATTTTAAGCCACCCTGTTTATGGAAAGCAGGTCCTTTAATAATTACATTTTGTGGTCAGGCTCTTGAGAATACAGTGCTAGCCAAGGTCCAATGGAAAGGACTTTATCTGACTTCATTACAAGTCATTTGGCTTAAAGCTGCAATTTCCAAGATCCTATGGACAACTTTGAGGGCTATACTTTGTTATAGCAGCCCTAAAAATACAAAGGAAATTATAACATTTATTGTATCCCATATTCTAATTAAATAAGCAAATAGGTAGTTATTCTACTATAGCTGGAGAGAGAAATTTGGCTAAATAGAATGAAAAAAAGATTGAAGGAGAAAGGGGGAAATTAGCCATTTTTAATTCTACAAAGAAGGTGTAAAAGCAAAGCAAAGCAATCAGAAATCAAAGGAATTTTTAAAAATAATATACAGAAACAATTCAACTTAATGTGGGTAGCAACTGAGGCTTAAAAAAGGAATAGAAAGAAATTACCTCACTTCCCCTTCTTTTGTTCTGTAGGTGCTTTTATAAAACCCATGGAAGGTCTCAGAAAGGTTGCCAGCATAGTCAATGGTCACGGTGTAAGGGAGCCCGGCAACCAGAGGTTCTGGAGACAGAAGTGCAATTTGCTCCTGAAGCGGGTATTCCAGAACTCTCAGCGGTTTTTCAGGCTGCCCTTCTCCAGGGCCTCTTCTGAGGGTGGCTTTTGATATCTGCAGGCGGTGACTGTGCAGGATGATGGCACTAGTGGGCTGACTGGTTGTGATTTCCACTTGCGTGGTGCCCCCAAAAGTCAGAGTGGTGAGATTTGCATGGATCATGAGATCGTAATGAGCAGGGATGACGTGCTCGGGAAGTCGCATCTTACTCCACGGAAATGGTGTCCCATCACTAGCTTTTGGAAATGTAGTTTCACTGCTCTCACACCAGGAAGGCTTTGCCACAGTTAAGAGAATCAATAGCATAGAATGTAAAAACGCCATAGTTGCCAGGGGACTTCTGGAGAGCAGAGAAGTCATCTTCTTGCTCAAACTATTTAGTGGCACAAACACATAAAAGCAAACAATAAATAAGAGGTACTACAATTTACAAACAGCATCATTTCAGATTTATCTGTGCAGGGTTAGTAACTATAGGTACAAACTTTGCAAAATACTTGGTCTTTCCTGAAAGCAAAATTACTATCATTGATTCATAAGAGAAGAAAAAAAAATGGGTGGTTAGCAATAATTATTAACACCTACTAACAAAAAGGATCATTTGGCTCTCAAAGTTTAAATTAAGTCTAGCAATCAAGGTTCTTTTTTGAAAACAACAGAACCAGCTCCGTCTCAGAAGTCCTGGTAACTCAAGTAGCTCACAGAACCGCCATGAGTAAAAGCAGACTCAGAAGCAGGCAAAGGCAGAACCAGAGCAACTTCCATAGTGACCATGCCACCACCCTGGGCCTTGAGGGAAGCTGCCCACAGTCTGAAGCTCAGATGCCACAAGGCTGCTGCCACCAACCAGCAACTTTGCATTTCCTGTTTTAGCCTCAAAGTCCCAACTTTGACTGTCTGAACTGAGGGAAGGTGTCCAAATTACCTGGCAGGAAGGTGGAGAAAACAGAAACTTAGACTTCACAGCTTCAACAGTAGGAGGTCAACCTTGTTTTCCTCCAAGTTAACAAAGAATTTCCAAAACCCAGGGAACCTAGAAAGGAGACTGTAGTGCCTACACCTTACATGCAAGGGCAGGTTCGCTATGGATTCAGGCAGAAGAGTCCAACAGAGTCCTGGAGTCTTCGGTGTTTTTTTTTTTTTTTTCCCCCAGGCGTTAATGCTCTTTCTATGTCAACTGTGGGATAAGCCTGCAGACTGGCAAAGCAGGAAGACCGGGGACCAGGAGGCCCCCAGCGAATCTTTACTCTTTCTCGCTGGCATTCCCTGATGGCTTCTTCCTCTCATAGCCCTTCTGCTGTAGCAGATCTTTCTGGCTGTGCAATGCAGCCTTTGTAAGCCTTGGCCTCTCGGTTCAGGTGTGCCCACTTACACATGGCACACCACTCAGGTGTCCCCCATTAAGCATGCGTGCCACGCGCTGAAGCTCCCAAGTACCTTTTGCAAGGCCACAGATGATAGCCACAGAGACCAATGGCATAAACACCTGAGCAATTCACTTACCCTTAAGAGACTGAAAACCAGAGTGGGAGGGGAGAGTTGAAAGGCGCCATTACAGTGACTTTTCATAGTAGTGGTGTTTTTGTCAAATGTCCATGCCAAAAGTTAACTGATATTTATTGAGCTGGACATAGTGTAAACTATTTACAGTGATTTTCATCATCATTTGTGACAGGCATACCAATGGCCTACATTCTCTTTAGAATCATCTAACAAATAATAGTCCCCGCTCCCTACAAGACTGGAATCTAAGTACTATTTGGGAGATAATACACAGAACATAAATCCCACCATCCAGGGCTTCAAAATCTAGGAAAGGAAACACACACATACATGAAAGACAACAGAGAAAATGTGGAGTGTCTTAAGATAATAACATAAAAGGGTGTGGAGGAGGGAAGGAATATTTCCAAAGGGGGAGTGACTTTGGCAGCTAGGGATGCTGGAAGACCAGCACCTGAGCTGGTTGGGTGAGGCTGGATTTGGAAAGGAAGGTGTGCATTCCAGACAAGGCAAGGGGAGCAAGTCAGAGCAGGAGTTAAAGCACAAAGCAAGACAGGGCGATAGGGCTGACAGAAGGGAACCCAGGAGAATGTGCAGGAGAGGCCAACTGAGCAGGGACTCCATGCTCAAAGCTGCCAACCATCATTCGTACTTTAAAGGCCATGGGACACACACACACAAAAAGCGAATTTCAGAGAGTTGACAATCCACACTCTGAGAAACAAGCATGCTCCTTTCTCTTATAGACAAAGACACCTCTCTAATAGTGTTTGGCAGGAGGGGCCCCAGTTAGGTAAGCTCAGCTAATTGGTCTTAATTCCCTCAATTTCCCTTTGCTCCTGAACATTTGGATCAGATGAGAAAAGAGATAATACTGCAACATGCATCACTCAAAATGATTGTGGTGCATGGGACTCTCCCTCCATCTTGGCGGTTTTCAACAGTGGCTGTATATTAATATCACGTGGGGAGATTTTTAAATGACTGATGCCTGAAAACCTGTCCACAACAATTAAAAAGGAATCTATGGTGATGAGAACCAATGAGATATCAGAATTTTTTGTAAAACTTCCCAGAAACTATATGGTAGAGCTGGTTAAGAAGCTCCTTGTCAAAGATAAGATAATCCTTGCCAAACCGTGTTCTTAACCCAGAATCCCTCTGTGAAGTGATACGACTTCTCACTATTTGTAGAGTATGTTTGTATTCTCCCCTCAACTCACTCCCCATCCTGTTCCTGTCTCAACACACAGTTGAATGTGCTTTCCTCCCCCTCCTCACAGAGTGAATCAACAGACAAAACAGAAAGGATACCTACACTGGAATCCAAGCAGCCAAAGAGGCACCACCCAGGTGAGAGGGAAAGTCGTGATGAGGCAAAACACTTTTTTTCATTGTTGCTGCTGTTTCTTGTTTTTTGGATGTATGTCAGAACCAACAAAAGGTTACATCAAACCAGAAAACGTTTGCCCAATTTGGAAGGGGAAAATAAAATTTAAAGACCCAAATGGTAAAGATTTCTGACCAGGGCAGGAACTAAATGATGGCTTTCTCTTGAAGTGAGTGTGTGTGGGGGGAGGAGGTGGAGGGGGGGAGGAGGTGGAGGGGGGGGCGAGAGCAGGAGAAAGGAAGCATGTATGATGCATTCACTTGGAAATGCATTAGCAGCAGTCAGTGGGTGTGGGCCCTGGGAAACAGATGCTCAGCAAAGGTAGTACCTGTACACAGGGTGTGCCCCCTAACTTCTCCAGCACCCAAATAGAAGATCTAAAAATTCCAATTGTCTGAGCTGACAGCAAGGTTCTTGCGCTGCTAAAGGAATTCGCTATCCAAGGGAAATATAAAGCAGGAAATATAGAGGGCATCACACCAAAGGAGATGCAGCTGTGAATCCCTGTGGGGAGGGGGCCCAAGAGTACGTGGCTATGTCTCAAGAAGGATGCAGTGCCAGGAAACTAAATGGAACATCTAATATAAACAGTAGAAACATCAGAATATATGCATACATACATTGACATAATTATATCAATAATATATGTGTGTATACACACACACATAGCTTATAGTCAGAAAAGAAAACCTGACTTTGCACTTAGTCCTGTTCCTGTGTGACCTTGGACAGGTTATTTAGTCCCAGCTTCATTTTCCACATGTGTAAGATGAGAACACTTCTCTCACTGGATTGTTGTGACGATTAAATTTAGAGTCGATATATTTTCAAATCATTCATTCCACAAGTATTTATTTGCCCTTATTAAATATCAGGGGTTTGTTGGACATTAGCAATGTAAGACAACATAGGTCTCTGACCTCAAAGAGCTTACAGTTAAGGGGAGTACTTTAGCCAGTGATATATATATACACATATATATCGTATATATATGCATATGCATGTATGTATATATATTGTGTTGGTAACCATATATCTATGGGGGGTATGGTTTATATATATATGTGTGTGTGTGTGTGTGTATATATATATAGACACAGAGAGAGAGAGAGAGACAGTGAGAGAGGATGAGAGAGAGGTTAGCCAGATTAGTAAAAAAAAAAAAAAAGCCAAATATATACTGAAAGAAAGTAATGGCAAACGAATTTACATTGGGTATTTTCTGAGACTTTCAACTGAGTTCAAAGGACAAGTTCAAGTTAGTTAAAAAAAAAAAGAAAGAAAGAAAAAGGGAGATACAGAATTTTCCAAACAGAGGAAACAACAGTATCTGCAGTCTCAGAAACAGGAGAGAGGCTGGTTATAAAGACCAGTGAGCCCGGAACACAGCACAGAACAGGGAGATGCATGTGGAGAGGCAGGCAAAGACTAGACCACCACACAGCCGTGTAGGCACATTAAGTATTTTAGATGGTATCCTAAGTGCAATGAGGAGCCCCTGGGTTTTGAGCCAGGTAGTCTCAGGAAATAGTTCACACTTTGAGAAAACGACCTTGGTTGCTGTGTGGAACACAGAGTACTGAAGGAGTAAGGCTAAAGGCCAAGAGAAAACTCAAAGAACAGTCTAGCCCAAGTAAGCTATCATCAGCGTTAGGGAGTTGTCAACAGTAAGCAGGTGGACATGAGAGACATGAAAAGGTGAGTGGATTCAACATCTTTGTCTAGGGTGGCCTGGAAGGGGTATTGAGAGACAGGACATATCCAGATGGCTGCCTTTGCTCTAGAATGAACTGGTGGGTAGTCATAGGTTCCTTTATTGACAGAGAAAAGAGAGAATCAAGAGCCATTTGTAAAATGTCTAATTTGTGACATCAATAAGCTATTCAAGGGAAATTTAAAGCAGGCAGTTGAAAACCCAGGTTTAGAAATAGAGATGATGGTTTTAAAGTACTTCCTGTAGTTGACTGAATTTCTCTGAAGTTTTAAAAAGGATTTTCCTTTGACCCCTGATCTTATTAAAGCACCTTTTATAGGCAGTGTTGTCCTATAAAAGTGAGTGAGCAGCAGTTAAAGAGACCCTATCTTTATTTTACAGGAGGAGCTCAAGATAGTTTAGGCATCTTAATTAGTGATTGTGGCTTTTTCCACTGGCCCAGAGAGTCAGAGAAAGGAGAGGCAACTACTCGTCTCCTCTTAGTTAATTCACCCTTCCTTTCACTGGGAGATTAGATCATGAAATCCATCAAGAGGTAATGGACTTTCTCCAAAAATGTTCAGTGACATTAATAACCACTGGAAACTGTTTGTCACTGCTAGTAAAAGATTAAAAATGATCTATAATCAATACAAAGTCCAACTCCTTGGGAAAAAACACAACTCTGGCCAGTTTATAAATGGTGGTTAAATTGTTGAGCATATCCGAAATGGACAGTAAATATGCTGGGCACTTGGTAGAAAACAGCATGTGCGTTCTTCGTGAAAACTGCAAGTAAGAGTCACTTATAAGGCCTAACTGAAAGTAACAAGCCTGGGTAGGAAATTTGAATTGCTCAAACAGGAGAGTTTTATCTGCGTTTAACTAGGCTACCTCCAATAGCCAGAGAGAAGTGAGGACAGATAAGTGTGAAAAACAACAGGAGAAACGGAGAAAATTTAGTTTTGTAGGAACTTCCGGACGTTGATTGCCCAGCACCGCCACTGCACCAGACATCCCAAAGTCGCCTCTGTTTCTCTGTCAAATGACCGCAAGGTGCCAGCCTCAGAGGTTCACCTTAGCCAACACGCCCCTTCATTTGGCCCTACAAGGCAGTCCATCTGGTGGACAGAGCCTCTGGGCCCAGGCAAGAAGCGAGGCGGAGCACAGAGCCAGGGGGAGCAGCACGCGGCGGAACAGGCACCCGGCCCTTCGCGCCTGGCCCTTCGCCCCCAGCCTTATGAGGTTGGAGAAGGTCCCCAGAGGGAATCGGCTGGCTGCGGACCCCGCTGCTCTCCTCCCTCAGTCTGGGCGGGCCCCAGGGCTCCCGCCAACCCGCTTCTCGAGCCCCTCGCTCTCCTCCTTCCGTCCCCGACCAGCGGGTTTCTCCAGTCAGCGCAGATAAGACCTCTGCACCCCTTTCTCCCTCCCATCCCTATCCCCGCGGGGATGCACAGGGGATAGCGCACAATACCTGGGGTCGTTGGGGTCTTGCCGCTCACCCTAGTGCGGCCTCGGTCTGCAAGGCGGCCCGGGACCGAAAGCGAAAGTGGAACCCGGGAAACTGCGGGCGCGCGCGAGGGGCGCGTCGGCTGGAGCCTCAGCTCCGTGCTCCCGAAGAACCCCAAGGGCGGGAGCTGCGAAAGGGAGCCCGCGAGTGGGACTGAGCGAGGGAGACTGCCATTCCCACGACAGGAGTTCATTAAAGAGTGCTGCACGCCAGGGAAGCATTGGGTTGCCAAACAGAAGGGATCAGGTGGGAAGGAGCAGCCCTTTTGAATAGAGATCGTGCTTTCTCCACTGTCTTTAGAGATACTTTTTTCACTGATTAATTTAGTATAGTGAGGATTTGGGGCATAAGAAGTGGGCTGGTGGAATTAGAGAGGATCCGAACCAAGACAAGAGTTCTCTTCCCCACCGGGGTTGGTCGGGCTCCAAGCTCATTGGACATAAGGAGTGTCGATCCTCTCACCTCTGCAAATGAGCTTCAGAATTGGTGGCCCTCCCCAAGCTCCTTTTCTTCCCTCCCTCTCCCCCCGGGAAGGGGAGGGGTTGTAGAATCTGCCCGCAAAACTTCACCCTCACGATCAAGGGGCTATTGGACCCCACAGGTTTGCTGCTCCCCACATTACATCTTCCCCCCAGCTTTTTCAAATCAAATGACCACTTCTTTAGCTCTCTCCCTAGAACTTAAGATTGGATGAAATGTTTTCTTCTAAAACCCACCTTTAAAAAATTGAGGGTGGCCCTCCCTGGTGGCGCAGCGGGTTAAAGCGCAGCACTGAGAATCTGAAGCCACTTCCGCAAGAGTTCGATTCCCGCCTGCTGCCTGCCCCAGAGGAGACCACATGGCGAGCCAGACCTCTCCTGGCCCGCCCACTGCTTCCCTCAGCAGTGTACTTCGTAGATCTGCCTGTTCTGCTCCCCACTCTGTCTCTGGTGAAGCCTCTCACCGCCCCTGAGCCCTGGCCTGTACCCCAGTTCTGTATGAATAAATAAATAAATCTTTAAAAAAAAAAAAATTGAGGGTAAGTGAGGTTGTAAACCAGGAACACAAACGTCCATACTTCCACATGGTGCAAGTATGAGAGTGGATCGTGGTCCCCCGGGACACTTTTCGTGCTATACTTAAGCTTTCCTTTCTGCTCCTCTTTGAGAACCTGGAAGTCTAAGTCACTGGAACAATACTTCTCAACCTTTAAAAAGTCAATCTCCTACTTTTGATACCAGTAGCTGAAGACCGTAAATCGTTCTGGGTGGGGAAACCCCCTTGGAGAGGGTTTGCTGGTAGAAATTAGAGAGCCCCCATGAGAATGCTTAAGTGGGGTGAAACTGAAAAACTGTTATCACGCCTGAGGGAGGGCTTAGCACTTGCGCGAGAGGTAGCTTGGGGAGGAGGGGCGGGAAAGAAGCGCGGGAGGGAGAGAGCTGAGCTCCCACCGACTAAGGCTGCAGGGCCCTTGAGATGGCTGCAGAGTTCCTGGGACAGCTCTGCGAGCTCTGTGGGCGCGGGCCCTATGACAGAGGCCATAGAGTAGCCCTGGTGCAAATAGTCATTTTGGAGAAGTTTTGTTAGGTCTGGCAGATAAAGGGCATCTTGTTACAGCATGGCCTGGAGAGGATGGGCTATGCCCAGTTTAGTCTTCCTTTTACGCTGTGTCAGTTCCTTTTAGAATATATATTTTTGTGTGTCACATTATCACTAGTTGAGACCATCCCTTTCCATACCATCCTCCCTGCCCTATTTTGGAATGTAAGGGCTAACACCCTTTTCTCACTCAGGGTGGGATCAAAGGAAGTTATTTTTCAGCAAAAACAAGGGCTTTGAGATCAGGTAATGTCTGCATATTCCAGATGTCAGTGAGGGGGTCCCATTACTCAGAACTTCTGGCCTGGTAAAGCCATCATGCATTTCTTTGCATTTAAATTGATGTTTTGGATGTGATCGGTTCCAGTACCTTTTCTTTTAAAATTATTCTTGCAGGTCAGGTTGGCAGAAGCTAAATGCACCAAACAGATTAGAGGCTGCTGTAAAACACATGGGAAATCAGGAGCAGGGGAGTGCATGCGCCTAAATTAGGCAGGAGGGAGCTGCAGTGTCACTGATGAGGGTGCTGTTGTCTCTAGGCTGTTTTCACCCTCTCCCTGCTCAGACTTTAGACTATTAACTGACCAAGACTTCCATGTCCAAGTACACTACAAGTGAAATGAAAACGGAGGATTTGGCAGCATTTCCTTCTAGTTTCAAGGCTCTTTTGGGAACTGAGTGGTTCAGACCTTGGAGTGAGGACTTTAAACTTGAAAGGGTCCCACTAGGAGAGTCTGGGAGGTCAAAAGCTAGTAACTAAAAAGCTCAGAAATAAATGGTAGTGGAGGAGAGTAGATAGCATAAAAGGGCAACTAGATTTATTGATTTTTAACCAACTGTTAGCTACTTTGCACAATCCCAGCTGTGTGCATGCAAGCGTGTGCGTGTGTATGGTCTCTCAGCAATTCTGTAATGTCCGCCACTTTATCGATGAGAAATGTGAGAGAGGCAACTTGCTCAAAGTCAAAGAGAATATTAAATGTGAAACTCAAATTTGAACACTAAGTGGGCCTATTGAACCTCAAAGTGACTATTCTCCTCTGGGCCACACAGTTGCCTCAGTTCCTCTTTATCTTCATCTTTCCTCTCATTCTACTCAGCCTTGCTTTTTCCACCCAGCTCTTATAAATTTCATATCCTGAAAAACCTCTCTGGAGCCTCCAAACTTCTTCCCAGTGGGTAGTAGGATTTGCTGCTCTAAAAATGAAACCCTAAGACATCAGTACTCTAAGAACATAAAGCTTTGGAACACTCAGGGTGACAGGCTTTCGATCTTGTAGGGTGCGTCTGTCTGAGGTTTTTGGATCAAGAAGCAAGCACGCAGGAAAAGAGAAAGTCCAAACAACTGTGCATCTCCACCTCAGTTTTAAAGAATCAACAAAGCTTCCACTCATTTTGTAACAGGGTGGTCCCCAGGAAAAGGGGAGGATCCTGGTTCCATGCCCCACACAGAAGGAGGGTGGAGCTGAGCAAAAGAGAGAGGAATCTGGAGAGGAGACTGAAGAGGAAGGAAACAGGGTAGAGAGCCAGGAGACCTGAGGGAGCCACATGGAGCAGAGACATGTGAACAAACCATACTTGCTTCTTTGTCCTGGACTGGTAGAAACAGATGTGGGTGAGAGACCCATGGGAGTTTCACTGTGGCAGCATTTATCTTGATTTTTATTTTGCTCTTTTCCTCCCAGACTTGTCTGTCCATTTCTCACCCTTTTCTATGGATCCCAGCCAAAAGATGCTTTAGGCTTGTGGAGAGCTTTCAGACCTTGTTTTGGGCTAATCCCCTTTGGGTAGACTTTTACCCACGAGGGGATGGGTAACTGGGTGTTTGATTTAGAAACTATATTCTTTGTCTTTTCTGTATTGCACACTAATTGTATTAAAGTTCCTTTCATTAAAGCGCTTTTGTCTTGATGCAGCAGATGGCAGAATCTATTTAGAGCAGGCAGGTTTGGGGTTCAGTGGTGCCCCTCTCCCTGCTCTGTAACAATTTCACTGGCTACAGTTAGCCACATGGTCTCCTGCCAGTGGAGGAGAGGTTGGTGAGCATTGCTTCTGTCTAGCACACCTTACCACACAGCGTCAGTTGAAGTCATCCATTCCCAGTATGTAGCATAATGGAGCCCATTGTGCTAATCATTAGAATCAGGGATGAAAGTATAGATGCCAAGTTAAATCCCTCTGAAATGGTGTGATTATAAAGCTTGTATACTTTATCTTATTGGAAATTCATAGTGTACCTGAGTATGTGGCTTATAATTCTATTTTTCTAGAATGAGGAATCTGCAGATTTGAGATAAGTGGCCTATCAGGGCCACTACAGAAAAAGCATACTCTAAAGTGAAGCGGAGCTGATGGAGAGTAAGAATAGCTCTACTGAGCCTGTCCCCAGCAAGCTGTATCCTTGTACTTTCAGGGCAAGAGAACCAATGAATTCCTTTCTTGATTCAACTAATGTGAGCAGATTTCTGAAAGCACCCGAGGAGGAAGCAATGGATGCCTGCTAGAGTTCTTTTTCAGTGATCATAACTGCTGTCACATTATTATGACTGCCAGCCAGCAGAACATTCTGGGTAACTTGAGGACTTACTACGTGATTCCCATGTACCCTCCCTCCTCTTGATATCTGTTTCAGAAAGCCTGCCACCATGGTAACCTGAGCAAGTCTTGCAGCCTGATGGACCCCATGAAGCCCTTCCCTTCTGTCTGTCCTCAGTGTGTGAGAAGGTTCATCTCCAGCCTTCATACTGTATTTGTGTTTTTCCTTTTGCTCATTTCAATAAAGAGGTAAATCACCATAAACAAGTTCTTTAAATTTGCATTTCTTACATTGCTAATGAGACTGAACACATGCCTTCAGCATATGTTGGTTCAGTGATTTTATTTTTTATTTCCTCATTTGAGTATTATGTTTATATTTATTGACCATTTCTTTAGTGGAATATCACTGCTTAATTATGTAAGAATATTTAGGACACACAATAAAAATCCATGGACTATGGGGGAGGAGAGGGGAACAAGATCAAAACTGGGGTGGGAAGTCCATGGAGATTACAACTGAGATGAAAAAAATGTACAAAATGAAGAATATATATATATATATATATATATATATATATATATATAATACATACATATATACTAAAATAAAGAACTACACAGACATGGAAGCTTTGAGGATAGAAACTTAAAAGAAAGCATCACACAGCCAGTAAGTTTTTATTGTCTCAAAGCAATCCAACACTATGACTCAATGACTCATATCAACTGTTTAAACATCCAGATCACTGCCTGCAATGTCATTTGAGATGTTGGAAGTTAACAGATATTGTCAGCCTGGACACTAAAGCACATTTTGGCTCAGGAAACCTGGCATTCTGGCATCATCATAATATTGCTGCTCCTGCCACAACAACTGCTCAAAGAATGAGTTATCCAAACTGGAGTAGCATGTTCTTTGCAAATGCTGAGGAAAA